ATGAAAAATGATGAGAAATGGAAATAAAGTCTTTGTAAATAGGGAAGGGTGGAGAGGGTGAAGGGAGGGCTAGGAATGGGGAAACAATAAGAACCAAGATGCATTATGTAAAGGTACAATTCCCAATGAGAAATGTAATTGTGTTGTATACCTACAATGTACCAATAAAAGAATTTAATTTTTAAAAAAAGAATTTTGTTTGAGACAGGTTTTCGCTATGTAGTTCAGGCTGACCTTGAACTCACTATGTAGCCCAGGCTGGCCTCGAACTCTCGACAATCCTCCTGCCTCAGCCTCCCATGTTCTGGGATTATAGGCATGCACCACCACACCCAGCCAATAGAAATATTTTAAAGAATAAATGTAGTATAAACCTATGTTTATGCACCTTTATGACAAAATTGGCATTATGCCCATCAGGTTTGAATCGTATATTTTAACTTTTAAAATAATTCTTTATATAAAAATACTAGTCCTTTGTCATATTTTCTGCATCTATTCCCAATTTGTCATTTGTTCTTTAATATTGAGGTTTTTAGTGCACAATCTTAAATATCACATAATCAACTGAAAATTTCTATCAGTTCTCAACTTTAAAAGCTTTCTCTGGGGCCGGGAATGTGGCTTAGCGGCACAGTGCCTGCCTGGCAGGTGCAAGGCCCTGAATTCGATTCCTGGTACCAAAATATAAAATAAAATAAAATAAAGGCCTTCTCTGTATCAAGATTTTTGTTAAGAATTCACATCTTGGCCTGGGGATTTAGCTTAGTGGTGCTGTACCTGTCTGGCAACTGCAAGGTCCTAAGTTCTATCCCCGGTACCAAAAAAAAAAAAATTCACATCTCTTTTCAAGTTTTGTGTTCCATTTTGTTTCAGTGGGATACAGTGGCTCACAGTAGGGATAGAAGCTAGGCCAAGGTATTGTGCTAATTAGTAAACGTTCTTCTACTTATGCTTCTCATATGAAACCTTAACATAGAGAATACTTCTGAAATGATAATTTACCTAACGTTATAGATCATTTTGACAGAATGTAAATGTAAATAGGTATCAGCCTGCACATTGGATTTTTTTTCCTTCTCCTCCTCCTTCTGGCAGGTCTTGAACACATGGGCTCAAGTGATCCTCCTGCCTCAGCCTCCCAAATAAATGGGATTACAGCCATGCACTGCTGTGCCCTACTCAATTAATCTTAGGAGATCTCTCTTTGCAAGAATTTTTTTCTCCTATCAGTTTTTAAGCAGTAGGTTTAGCTCACAAAGCCCCTTCACCTTCATGTTGATCGGAAGTATGGCAGGGGAGAGGGCATTGGAGCTGCTTTCAGGTTTTTTCTTTTATCTATGCAACCAATTTTTCAAGTTTATTTTCCTTTTTAGGTGATTGGTTTTAAAAGTGCTTCATTCATAAATTCTGAGGATGTTAAGAGAAAAATTCTAAATCACGGAATTTAGAACATCACAGATGCTACAGGAGTCGGTAGCACCCTCTAGTGTACAATTTTAGAACCAGCATGGTCTCTGATGGGTGCATCTGAACCAGCTCAGAGCACTTACATTAGCCTATAGATAACCCAAAGCCTAGGATATAATAAAGTGTTGAAAAGGTCATGTCTTCTTTTTGTTTCTTTTGTATTTGTTTTGCTTTAGAGACAGGGTCTCACTATGCAGTTCAGGCTGGCCTTGAACTCACTATGTAGCCCAGGCTGGTCTCTAACTCATGGCGACCCTCCTGCCTCAGCCTGTTGAGTGCTGGGATTACAGGTGTGCACCACCATTTTCGGTTTAGCTCAAGTCATTTATTGGATACTGTACTGAAAGTGAAAACCAGACTGGGCTGCATGGGTACGTTTTCGCACCTTCATAAAGTAAAAAAACTGTGAACTTGAAAGGTCACAAGTTGAGTCATGCTAAGTCAAGCACTGGCTGTGTTTCTGCCTGTGACCTGCTTGCCTCCCATTGGATGCAAGGCTGTAAGGGCAGGGATTTCTACCCGTGTAGGTCACAGCAGTGTTCCCAGTGCCTAGCACAGTTTCTGGCACACAGTCGGTGCTCGATATAGTCCTTGACTGCACGACTGTGTAATCACTGTGACATAGAGGACATTCAGTAAGTGTTTGTTGGTTGAATGCACATATCATCACATGAATGAGCGGGTCGACCTTGAGCTGCTGGCTCCCCGGGCTGCCCCCCCGCCCCGCCCCGGCCTCAGCACAATACAAGACTGAGATGGAGTGAAGGTGGGCCAGGAACAGCACAGGGAGGGCAGGACCCTACGCTTTTGTTTCCACTTCCAGCTGATAACCGTGCTGCTGGCCTCAGTGGAGGCAGCAGGCTCTCATGGCAGGCGAAGTTGAATTCAAGCACTGGTACGCTGTGGCTCCCAGGGCTCGGGGTTCATCCTCGAGCTGCGAGGATGTTGTTGTTCTAGGCATGAGCACTGCCCGGCTCAGGGGCCCGAAACGCTGGGCCAACAGCTGGCCTCGCGCCTCAGGTTTTGTCGTTGACGCCTTGCTGGGGGGCGCCTGGCCTTGGCGTCCTCCCGCAGCTGTTGGCTGCGCCTGCGGATATCCTGGGTCTCACTGCGGAAACGTCAGTGTGCCGTACGCGTTGTATCTCGTGTCCACTGATAAGTCTCGCTGCCACGCCGCGGCCTCTCCCCAGTCCACTCCTCTCGGGTCCGCCCGCGGCAGCCTTCGGTCTCTCTCCTCCCTTTCGCCGGCTCCTAAGCACGTATCTTCTTCACGCTAGATGCATCAGGTGAAGTCCTGGCGGCGAAAAGGTTGCGTGGACCGTGAAACTCTCCGTACACCCTAAGCGCGCCTAGCACAGAGACTTCTCCTAGGTCAGTCGGTCGAGCTCAGGAAGCCATCAAGTAACATACCGGAAGCGGCTGGGCGGTTGATGCTTTCTTTTTCCTAGCAACGGGTCGTGAAGGAAGTGGTTGCCGCCGCTGCACGCCGTGCGCCTGCGCAGAGAAATCGCCGCTGACGGAGCGGGATCTCGGTGGCCGTGTCCGGCGCGCTGAGGGCAGCTGGAACGTCTCGGGTGGCGGAGCCGCCAGAGGGGCCGGGATGGCGGCGCCGTTCTCCCCTCGCAGGGAAGCCGTGGCTGCCGACCGGTGCTGGTTGGTGCTACTGTCACCCTTGCTGTTGGTGGCTTTGCTGGCGCGGCCCGCGGGGGCGCTGGTGGAGGGGCTGTACTGCGGCATTCGGGACTGCTACGAGGTGCTGGGCGTGAGCCGCTCGGCCGGCAAGGCAGAGATCGCGAGGGCCTACCGCCAGCTGGCCCGGCGCTACCACCCCGACCGCTACCGGCCCGAGCCCGGCGACCAGGGCCCAGGGCGGACGCCGCAGAGCGCCGAGGAGGCTTTCCTGCTGGTGGCGACCGCCTATGAGACTCTCAAGGTATGGGCTGAGGGGAGGACCCCGCGGGAAGCGAGTGGGGTGGCGCTTCGGGCCCCGGCCCGCGCCGCCCGGTCTTTTGTGCCCTGGGAGCGGCCACCACCTCGACCTTTAGGAGCCTCACGTTTCTCACGTAGCCCTGTGAAAGTCCCCTGGGCCACTGGCCAGGATGGGAAATGGGAGCCTTCTTGGGCTTTGGGGGCAGGGGGACAGCCAGCCCCCTCCTCTTTTCATGAGTCATCGTGATTGCAAAGCTTTGGATATTCTATGGTTTCGTGAGAGCATAGTCGGAAAGCAGGGTGATTGTTCTTAGGATCTGGGACAGGACCCAGGAAAGGCCTGGAATATTGAGCAACGGTGTGACTGTGACCATTTGACATGACAGAACTTTGATCTCTCGAGGGATAGTTTTAACAAAGGCACTTAGATTAGGTTTTGAGGAGCTGTCATTAGACCCGATGCTTGCCTCTTGCCTCTGACCATGAGACCCGAGTGACCTTGGATAGCGCTTTCTTCATATGCACGATTAAGGCCATACCTCCTCATAGTGTCATTATGAGGATTTAATGATAACTATAAGAAACTCGGTACATAAAACCTGTAAATGAGTAATTAATGATCTGGAGAAAAAGACTCTTGAAAATTTCTGGCACAAAATATTTTTCCGACGTATGTTTAATCATTTTACAAAGGTTTTATTGTGTCCTGTGGGGCTGGAGATGGAGAGATATAGTGTAATGCTATTTTCTGTTACTACAAAAATCAAACCGTATTAAAAACTCATCAAGTCCTTGGGTGTATCACTGCTTCAAGGGCCCCATTATGGTGAGGCAATAGCTGTTGTAGTTGTATGGTATTTCTCTCCTAGTCTTTTTTTTTTTTTCCTGAGGTAAGTTTTCCATGTAGTTAGACTATATAGTCTGCTTTTAATGCCTACTTTGTGTGGATGTACTGTCGTTTAAGCATGAATTGTTTCTCCAGATTAGTTTTATGGAGCTGAAAATGCTGCATATTGCATCAAGGAGCTAGAGACTCTTCATGCTTTTCAGAGCAGTGTAGGTGTTTGGAGTCATAAAAATGAATGTTGTTGCTTTACTAATTCTCACCAGCATTAGATTGTAATTGTCATAGGCAATTAAGTGAGGTATGGGGAGGGAGCTGGGAAAATGCTGAGGCTAGAGAGCTTAGTTGCCCATTACTTTGGGTAGAGTGAGGAGGACAGATTTGAGAAAAGTGGGAAAAAACTCTGTCCACCTGGGGTTGCCTAGTGTGTGAAGCCCCAGCCTGCTCTTTGCGGGACAAAGATAATTTCCAGGCTGCTGTGTTCTCTCACAGTAGCCTGCCCTTGTCCTGTAGAATGTACTTATTTTCCTACTTTTACTTAGCCCCAAAGCACTCTACAGAGCCTGTTTCTTTTTCTAGCTTTTAATAAATGTAAAACCTTGCTACTGTTAAAAAAGGATGGGATCCAGGCAGTCAGCCTGCTAGTGGTGCTCCAAAGCCCTGGTGATGCAGAAGGAAGCTCTGGACAGGCAGAACTTCCACAAGACAGGACAGCAGAAGTGCTCGCCCCTGTTGTCTTCTGGTGGGTTTTGCTGATATGGGATATGGGTAGGTTTGGGAAGAGACTGGTGAGCATGTTGGTAAGAACTTTGAAAATATGGGCCACAGTTATGGGGTAGAAAGAGTGACAGAAATTCTTACCAGGAGGCCTCCTGGGATTCTCTGTTCTTGACATTTTCTCAAAGACAAAGTTTCAGAGGACTGATCTAGTGGATATTTGTGGTTGCCTCTAAAGGTTTCTACCCTTGAAATTTAGTACTGATTTATTAGCTGATAAAAAGCTAGTTTGTCCACTGAACAGGTAGGAACTTTTAGTTAGTTAAACACTAGTGTGCTGGTAGAAAGTAACTCTTTTACTGAACTCTTAACAGGGTGTTTGTGGTAGCTACAAATACCTCCCAACAAGGAAGTAAAAATGGAGATGTACTAAGAAAGGAGGGAGCATGGGGAGTGTTCTATAGCTCCTCAGCCTCCCTACTGTATTACTCCTAGAGGATAGAAATTATCTGTGAGAGAAAAGAGATGTTTGGAGATAGCCTGGACCTTTGAAAATCACCCTCAGCAGAATTCTATAAATATTGCTGTGTAAATTAAGGCATTGCAACAGTAGTTAGCATATTTAACTATTGGGGACTCAGGGAATTCATGGACTTTGGAAGTCAGTAAACAGACTCTCACTAGCTGTATCAACATTGGATCTCATGAGGTGGAACACTCTAGTCCTGCTTACGTATTCATATGTGGCTATAGCACTTATCACACTGCCCTATGTATATTGAGTAACCCCTCCCCTTTCTACTAAACCACACTCCTTATTTTTTGTGTGTATGTTCATAGCACCTAGCACAGTGTCTGGCACATCAGATAATGAATGTTAATTAATTAAACTCACATTGGAGACGGATTCAGATAGAATGGAAATTGAATTTCTGGCATTTTACATTGTTATACAGAGCATACTTTGTCATTTTACCCAAATTAATTGTACTTTTAAAGAGGAGTATAGCTATATAAATTGGATGATTATGAATGAAAAATCCCTGCATGACAAAAATTGTACTTTTAATGTTTTTTTAAAGTGAGAACAGTGATCATTTTTGAACAGATAAAAATTGAAGTAAACATGAGAAATGGCATAGAAATAAACATGCAGGAACATCTAGAAAGGATGCACTTAGAAAAACTATGATTGATAGGAAATGGGAAAATAGGACTTGACAACATTTTGCAAGATTGTAAGAGAAGAGCATGGGGAATATTGCTGGCATGAAGGTTATCTGGCAAGTGGAAAAGATATATAGAGTGAACCTTCTGCAATATCCTCAGTATATTCTTTTACTTAACCTTTTCTCCAACCAGTTCTGACATAGGTGCTGGGGAGGAGACCATGACAACAGAAAAGGCATACTTTATGACTTTAAGCTTTTAACATAAAAAGGAAGACAGATACTTATTGTTTAGTTATTAGTTATTTATGTTACATAATAAAACAAAGGAGACATACTTATTTGGTTTTTATTTATATTATATAATAAAAGTTTATGCCTATTATATTGCAGCATGGAGAGGAAAGCAATTATTGCTTTTGGAAGATTAGAGAAGAATGTTTTCTTCGAAGTAGATCTGGAAAAAAGTCACCCAGATTGGTAGTGAAAGGACATTTCTGATAGGTGGAAAGCTTAATTAAAACATAATTGGGCTGGAGATTTAGCTCAGCACTGTGCCTGCCTCGAAAGTGCAAGGTCCTGAGTTTGATCCCCAGTACTGCAAAAACAAAACAAAAACAAAAAAACCTTAACAGAAATAGAGCATCATGAATGTTCAAGGCTTATTCTAGGATTGAAATGTTGGGAGGTGTAGTAATAAGTATTTATTTACATAGAAGACTCAAAATATTCTACCAAAAGACTAGAACTATAACAAATTCAGCAAGGTAGCAGGATACTAATCAGCACACAAAAATGAAGAGTGTTGGGCTGGGAATTTAGCTCAGTGGCACCATGCCTGGCTCATAAGCACAAGGTCCTGAGTTCAATCCCTGGTACCAAAAAAAAAGAATAGTGTTCTGTGCATCAATAATGGATCCATCAAGAAAGAATTTAGAAAAGTAATACCATTCATAATAGCATCAAGAAAAATTAAATACTTAGGAATTAACCTAAAAAAGGAAGTAAAACATTTCTATAATGAAAACTATAATACTCTGAAAAAGAAGATCAAAGAGGACATCAGAAAATTGAAAGATATCCCGATCTTGGATAAGCAGAACCAACATTGTCAAAATGGGCATATTTCCAAAACTGATATAGAGATTTAATGCAATCCCAATCAAAATGACCTACAGCATTCCTCACAGAACTAGAGAAAGCAATCCTAAAATTCATATGGAACCAGAAGAGATCCAGAATAGCAAAAACAGTCCTGCACAACAAGAACAAAGCAGGATGGATCAAAATTTCAGATTTCAAGTTATATGATGGAGCTACAATGATTAAAACAGCATGGTAAAGGGACCACAAATACATGCTAAAGGAAGGAGAGGCTCCTTAACAAATGATGCTGGAAAACTGGCTAAAAACATGCAGAAGATTGAATGTAGACCCTTATTTCCCACCATGTACTAAATTAAAATCAAAATAGTCCAAAGATCTAAATTTGTTTTTGGTTTTTTGAGACAGGGTCTTGCTGTGTAGTTCAGGCTAGCATTGAACTTACTGTGTAGCCCAGGCTGGCCTTGAACTTGTGGTGCTCTTCCTGCCTCAGCCTCCTGAGTGTTAGGATTACAGGTGTGCACCACCACACCCAGCTAAAGATCTAAATATTAAGATAGAAACAATCTGCTGGAAGATAAAATAGGTAAAACTCAAAGATAACAGGCTTAAGCAAGGAACTGTCTCAACAGAACCCCAGTTGCGCAAGAGATAACATCAGGAATCAACAAACGCGGGGTTATATTAAATAAAAAGCACAGCAAAGGAAACAAACAGCAGAGTGAAGAGACAACCACAGAATGGGCAGAAAATGCTTGTTAGCTATTCCTCTGTCTTAGTTACTTCCTCATCACTGGGACAAAATACCTGACCCCCACAAGTTAAGTTTAGCTCACAGTTTGTGGTGGTTTCAGTCCATAGTTGACTGCCTCCCAGGCAGACAGAGGGGCATGGCAGAGGAGAAATAGTCCCATGGCAGGGCAGGCAGGAGGCAGCAAAGCAGTAAGCCTCCCTTTTTCTTTTACTGTTCCATCCAGGCTACAAGCCTATTGGATGGTGCCATCCACACCCAGAACTATGCTAAACCCATCAGTGGACTAATTTAGTTACCATACACCCTTAATCCAGATTCGCAGACCCTAGATCCACCTACCTCTGAAAAGCCCCACCTATGAAAGCATGAGACTTTGAGGGGACTCTTAGATACAAGCCATAATATCCTTGGACAGA